ACGTTTCCATATCAAATTCCGGTTGACTGATTTTATTTTCGAATTAAGTATTGTTTTCGTGACTACCATTTAATCAGTAATATGAGATGTATTCACCCAATTTCGTTTCAGCTGATGAAGGACTGGTAGTCGAATTTTCCCACAATCATGTGAGTAGAGCTGTCGTTTCCATTTAATTTCACAGAGCCTTGCTTGCCCAAAAGTTGTTCTCATCCAAACAGAAGTGGACTGCAGTTTCGATCTCGCAGCCCCAGTGGCTACGTGAAATGTAATGGAAACGTCAGCTCTATTCATGATTGCTGGAAAATGTAACTACCAGTCCTTCATCACCTTAAACGAAATAGGGTGAATACATATCATTTCTCTCATTCTGTCCTAAGGTATTCACCTATCCTATGTCCTCGTAGCACCATTTTAGTATCACAATTTTTTACTTGTTCATCTGAACTCAGTTGAGCTGTGCTCGTTTGAGCGAAATTATCGAAGCCTATTCATACTCCTCCCCCCCGTTTCCCTCGTCTTTTTCTCCATATTTTATCAGTCTCCCAACTCTATAAACTGCGACCAAGATAAAGCTTATAGCAGCTTCTTACATGCGAAGCAAAATTAGTTCTCGATACATCTTCTGATTTACAATTGCTGAACTAACCTCCATTTCCAGTTACTGATTGTGGTGAAGAGACTCTGAGTTCGAGGACGGCAGATTCTGTAGTTGTAGTTTGATGCTGAGTCTGGCAAGACTCACTGGCGATACCGGAGCAACGTCTGTGAATGTGCCAAGTCCACGTTCCGATTCGGGAAATTGTCACAACCACTGCAGCAGAAGATTTCGTACAAGTTGCGTCCAACCAAGTCGCCCTGGCGACACGACCAATTTTCGCAAACGAGATCAGAGCACTTTCTAGATAGGCCTATTATTGCATTCGTGCGCCTTGACTTCAATCAACACCGTCTCAAACTACACGTTTTTTTCCCTCCATTTTCACTACCTCAAAGTGGGCTTTCAAGGCGAATTTTGCCCAACCCAATTATGCTCACTACTTGCATTTTTCCCAGCGTTTTCGGTCTTTCCGCTCTGCTCTCACGCCTCACCCCTCAGTCTGTCCATTCAACTGTGCTGTGTGTGCGTGTGTGCGTGTGTGTATGTGTGTATGTGTGTATGTGTGTGTGTGGGTGTGGGTGATCAATGAAAAAATGAGGGCCTTGAGTAATTACAAGCAAGCAACCGTCGTCACTGTCTCCCGCATGGCAATTGGGCTGCATTCTTGCAGAAAACCGGACGAACTGGTCCCGATTGCCGACCCGTCGAGGGGGAGAAACGAAAAGGAAGATGAGGTCGACTTGAAAGAAGGTAGCCGACTTTGACTACGTCCTCGAGGGGGACTGACAACTCTACGACTCGACTAGAGTCTGGCCGTCGCCAGATGCACCGTCCAACGCGTTCTGTACGTTTAATTGTCGTGGCGATACGTCGGTGCGTCTGGCCTCGATTGCTATTTCGCCTTGGTCTGGGACTGTCGGTACCTTGGCGCTGGCGTCAAACCGGCTTCCCGAGACCGACCATCCCCCTGGCTCGCCTCCTCCGGCCGCCAGTGGCCGCGTCGTCGGGTCGCCTCAGAGACGAGTCGATGAGGGCGAGAGGCTGGCCACGCGACCAGACAATGTCTGTCAGTCTGTGCTAAGAGTCACTTGGCCGACCGGGCAAAAGCGGACAGTTTTGGCCTCAAAACTCCGCCGGAGGCGAGACGAAAGAGGAGAGACGAGCTACAATCACGTCCACACGTTCGGCTGCCTCTCGGACGGGGACAGGTCGAGTCCCGGCTGACGAAGATGCTGTCACCGCTGCCACGCTTGTCATTGTTGCTACTGCTGCTGCTGCTGCTGCCAAAGATGATGAGGATGATGATGATGATGATGATGATGATGCCACTCAGCTGGTCGTCGAGTGAGTCCCAGTCCTTGCAGGACCGACTGGGCTTTCTGGGCAGCTGTGTTCGGCAGGCAGACGAGTTCTGCAGAGAACGAGTGGAGAACAGCGTGTGTGATCGGGACCGAGATGAGTGCTTCTGTCGGCCGGGCTTTGTGGCCATCCAAAACGGCGGGAAAATTGCCTGCAAGACACGTAAGCAATGTGACAATCGGGACTTAACAGGAGTACACCGCTTTTTTGACTTTTTTAACAAGGATTTTGAGACTAACACAATACCGTGAATATGAAACTGTCTTTTAATGCCTCAATCAAGATAGAGTGAGGATCCACTGGTAGTCTCGAAAAACTACTTATAAACGGAAAATAAGTAGTGTAGTTCATTTTTATATATAAATGTATTCAGCCTACTTTGTTTAAGGTTCTAATGATAGTCAATTCCATGTCCTTTTAGCTCACTGTTTCTCTCTCGCATTGAGACCAAAAACCAAAAATAGGCTTATCAACAAAACCAGACGTGTCCGACCTTGCGCAATCGGAGGGATGGTTATAACTTAAATGTCGAAAGGGGGAGATAAGGGTCATCAAACCTTGATGGCCAAAACAGACATTCCTTTTTGCTGTCCTAATTACTTTGAGCCATCACTTCGGGTTTCGTGCATAAGCAAAC